TTTTTGCTTGTGTGGTGCTGAGGAATCGAACCGAGGGCCTCAGGCCTGCAAGGCAAGCGCTCTACCACTGAGCCACCTTCCCAGCCCTACTGAGATATTTTGAGACCCTATGGACTTAGTTTTTAAATAATCCTTTTCTTAAGCTACAGAGATGGGGAAGAAGAGGCCTGATAGGTACGTTGGGAAAATAGTTTCAAGCAGTCACCTGCTGCTGGCAGATCGCCATTTGAAATGAATACTCTTAAGCCACTTGGCCCTATGTAATTATGATAATTAGAAAGAACGCTCAGTGAATGCTGCGCATCACAGGAGGCCTTCCAGTCTGCTGCAAGTGCGCCCTGGGAGCCAAGTCTCAATCACAGACACACTGTGCTTTCCCAAGCCCACTTTCCTTAGTGTGTTCAACACAGACTGAGCAGATGTCCAGCATTTTTCTAGCAGAATCTGTGATGCTGGCTGTAGTTATGAAAGTCACATTTCTTTCCAGTGTTTCTGAAATCATAGGAGCTTGCCGTTTAGTATTTGCTCAGTCAGTGTATTGCTGAATGTATAACCTATTGTGGTAGTTGAAAGTGGTAAGAATTAGCTTTTCCTCCTTTGTGTGCAATGTATGTGTGACTGTGCAGGTTCTGGGGCTTGAACTCAAGGCCTGGATGCTGACCCTGAGCTTCTTTTTGCTCAAGGCTACTGCTCTATCACTTGAGCTACAGCTTCACTTCTAGCTTTTTTATTTTTAGTGGTTTATTGGAGATAAGCTTCTCACTGACTCTCTGCCCAGGCTGGCCTTGAACAATGGTCCTCAGATCTCAGCCTCCTTAGTAGCTAAGATTAGAATTGTGAGCCACTGGTACCCATTCTACTTTTATTATTTTATGCCAGTACTGGGGTTTGAACTCAGGGTTTCAAATCAAGTCTGGTGTTCTACCACTTGAGCCACACTTCCACTCTAGCTAATTGTAGATAAGAGTCTTAGGAACTTTTCTGCTTGTCTTCAGACTTCTTTTTTTTTTTGTCAGTTGTAAGGCTTGAACTCAGGGCCTAGGTGCTGTCCTTGAGCTCTTTTGCTCAAAGAGCTCTCTCTACATTGAACCACAGCGCCACTTCTGGTTTTCTGTTGGTTAATTAAAAACAAGAGTCTCATGGACTTTTCTGCCTGGGCTAGCTTTGCGCCATCATCCTCAGATCTCAGCCTCCTGATTAGCTAGGATTTATAGGTATGAACTACCAGTGTCCAACTATCTTTTGACCTTGTTTTTTAACATTTAATAAGTTATGTCTTCTGAGTACAAGGCCCTGACTTTAAAACAACAACAAAAAATGATTTTTCTGTTTATGTGGGGATTCTTTCAGTTGGGGATTTTTTTTTTTGGTCATGGTTTCTCATTTTTTTCTCCAGAATTAGTTAGCATATAGAACAGAATTATCTATCCAGTTTTCTGGTGCCAACTGCCCAATGAGATTTTTGTCCTTCAAAGTCCTAATATTTGTTAACTGGTCATAAATCTGATTTGATTCAGGTCCTATGAAATCAATTTTGGATTATTTAGATCTTTTTTTTCCATTGGTCTTAGATAATGTTAATAATGTGTTTTATCTTTGTAGGAAGAAGAAATGATGTAATACATTCATTACCCAACTTCCAGTGAGGCTGAGAAGAGGGCAGGAGGACATGGCCTGGCCACGGGCTCTCCAGAGAGGGGCTTTGCTTACCCGATTCAGCCACCACCATGTTGTTGTGTTCCTGCTCACTTTCTTCAGGTAGCGCTTGGCTAGAGCTCTTCTCGACTCATTTTGTGTTAGCATGGAGGTTACTATATGCAGTAACCGCCCTACAGTGTCTAGGGCACAATTTGGCATACGCTTCCAATGAAATAAGTTATTCCTTTTTTGTACTGTGTGTGTGTGTGTGTGTGTGCATGTGCGCATGCCTGTGTGCATGTGTGCATGTGTGCATGCTGAGGCTTAAACTCAGGTCTAATCACGGTCCCTGAACTTTTTTGCTCAAGGCTAGTATTCTACTAGTTGAGCCACAGCTTTACATCCAGCTTTTTTGGTTAATTGAGGATAAGAGTCTCAAAAACTTTCATGCTCAGGCTATCTTTGAACCTTGATCCTCAGATCTCAGCCTCCTGAGTAGCTAGGATTACAGTTGTGAGCCGCTGATGCCTGGCAATGTTTCCTTTTTTTTTTTAATTTTTATTTTTGTTTTATTTTTTGTTGGTCGTGGGACCTGAACTCTGGGCCTGGGCACTGTCCCTCGGCTCTTCAGCTCAAGGCGAGCACTTACCACTTGAGCTACAGTGCCACTTCCGGTTTTCTGGTGGTTTAGTGGAGATAGGAGTCTCACGGTCTCTCCTGCCCGGGCTGGCTTTGAACCGAGATCCTCAGATCTCAGCCTCCTGAGTAGCTAGGATTACAGGTGTGAGCCACCGATGCCTGGCAATGTTTCCTTTTTTTTTTAATTTTTATTTTTGTTTTATTTTTTGTTGGTCGTGGGACCTGAACTCTGGGCCTGGGCACTGTCCCTCGGCTCTTCAGCTCAAGGCTAGCGCCCTACCACTTGAGCCGTAGCACCACTTCTTGCTTTTTCTGCTTGTTGGTGCTGAGGAATCGAACCCAGGGCCTCGTGCATGTAAGGCAAGCACTTTACCACTGAGCCACCTTCCCAGCCCCCCCTTTTTTTTTTTTTTGTTGGTCGTGGGGCTTGAACTCTGGGCCTGGGCGCTGTCCCTCAGCTCTTCAGCTCAAGGCGAGCACTCTACCACTTGAGCTACAGTGCCACTTCCGGTTTTCTGGTGGTTTAGTGGAGATAGGAGTCTCACGGTCTCTCCTGCCCGGATGGCTTTGAGCCATGATCCTCAGATCTCAGCCTCCTGAGTAGCTAGGATTCTAGGTATGAGTCACTGGCACCTGCCCCCCCCCCTTTTTTTTAGAATAAAGAATTCTAAAATTGAATAAAGAAAATGGGCATGTATGTATGACTCACTGAGTGTTATGTTCTTTGTTCCTAATTCTGCTACATTTCTTCTTTCTGTTTGATAGTTATTCATTGCTCCATGCTTCAAGAAAAACATTTAGCAATGTCAAGGTCAGTGTCTCCAAGCAGTGGACCCCAAGTGCTTATAACACATCAGTTGAACTACCTGTAGAGGTAAGCAGAGCAAACTGCTCAGATAGATTGAAGGGATCTGTCTTTCTTTTTGCCAGTATTGGGGCTTGATCTCGGCGCCTGTGTACTGGAGATTCATAGGTACCTGCCCTTGTCCTAACATGAAAGAGAGCCTTTTCTTTTTGTGCCAGTCCTGGGGCTGGAACTCAGGGCCTGAGCACTGTCCCTGAACTTTTCTGCTCAAGGTTAGTTCTCTACCACTTTGAGCCACAGTACCATTTCTGGCTTTTTGATAGTTAATTGGACATAAGAATCTCATGGACTTTCCTGCCTAGGCTGACTTTGAACTGTAATCCTCAGATCTCAGCTAGGATTACAGGTGTGAGCCACCAACACCTGGCTTAGCTTTATTTTATTTTATTTTATTTCTTTTGTTGGTTGTGGGGCTTGAACTCAGGGCCTAGGCACTGTCCCCGAACCTCTTTGTGTTTAGGTCTAGTGCTCTACCACTTGAGCCACAGCGCCACTTCTGATTTTTGAGTGGTTAATTAGAGATAAAAGCCTCATGGGGCTTTTCTGCTCAGGCCGGTTTGAACTATGATCTTCAGATCTTAGCTTCCTGACATTTTTTTTTTTTTTTTTGCCGGTCATGGGGCCTGGGCCTGGATGCTGTCCTTCAGCTCTTGGGCTCAAGGCTAGTGCTGTACCAGTTGAGCCATAGCACCACTTTTGGCTTTTTCTGCTTATGTGGTGCTGAGGAATCGAACCCAGGGCTTCATGCATGCAAGGCAAGCGCTCTACCACTGAGCCACCTTTCTAGCCCCAGCTTCCTGAATACCTAGGATTACAGGTGTAAGCCATTGGTACCTGGCTGGCTTAGCTTTTTTTTTTTTTTGTCAGTGTTCTACCACTTGAGCCACATTGTCACTTCTGGTTTTCTGGTGGTTAATTGGAGATAAGAGTCTCACAGACTTTCCTGTCTGGGCTAGCTTTGAACCAATCCTCAGATCTCAGCTTCCTGAATAGCTAGGATTACAGGCATGAGCCACTGGTGCCTGCTGGCTTAGTTTTTTTAAAATTAAAAATAATGGGCTGGGAGGTTGGCTCAGTGGTAGAGCGCTTGCCTTGCATGCATGAGGCCATAGGTTCGATTCCTCAGCACCACATAAGCAGGAAAAAAAAAACCGGAAGTGGCGCTCTGGCTCAAGTGGTAGAGCGCTAGCCTTGAGCTGAAGAGCTGAGGCACAGCGCTCAGGCCCAGAGTTCAGACCCCACCACCAGACCCCCCCGCAAAAAAAATTAAAAGTAAGTGACTAGAGGGGTTTCCTTGTGGTATTTCCATACATTCTTGTAATTTACTTTGATCTAATCCACATTTTCTGTATCCTTCTTTCTTAAGCTCCTCTCTCTTAGGTTCTTTTTTGAGTTATTTACCTGCTGAGGACTTGGAGGTGGCACACTGTGTCCCTTGGCTAAGAGCCAGGCTGTTCAGGTCATTCCACTGATTTTAAAGACTGCTCTGATTCACCCGTCGCATCTGCCACCTTGTTATTTCTCCTTGTTTGGAAATCACACAGTTTTGTCCAGGCCTTTTTTTTTTAAATTTATTTTTACAAGTACTGTGTGTATGTCTTTCCTTTTCATCTTTATCCACCTGTCTAAATTTTATCTTTTCCTTTGGAACAAGATAAAATGCCACTTTTTCAGTCAAGCCTTTTTTTTCTTTCTTTCCAGTTTCTATTGATTTTCCCTTTCTCCCAACTCCTACACCATAGGTACTACAAAGCTTAGTGTCTCAGCATGTGAATTTTCTGATGGTTTCATGGTTCCATCTTGAAGTCAGGGAGTATGCATCCTGGTGCCTGATGTTCATTATGGACTGAGCTCATTCTTGGATGCTGCGTGCTGTCCTTTACGATGCCCTCTCCTCAATATGGAAATCTACCCCACTGCATTCTTGGGACATTTCTTGATTTCTGCTTATGTAGAACTAGAGATCTCCCATTTATATTGTCAGCTTGCTTGCTTGCTTTCATTCTTTTCTTTTCTTTCTTCGTTCATTCTTTTTGCCAGTCTTGGGGCTTGAATTCATTGCCTGGGTGCTATCCCTGAGCCTCTTTGTACTTAAGGCTAGCACTCTACCACTTGAGCCTTTCTCTACCACTTTGGCTTTTTCTGAGTAGTTTATTGGTGATAAGAGCCTCAAGGACTTTCCTGCCTGGGCTGGCTTCAAACTGTGATCTTCAGGATTACAGGCATGAGCTCCTGCCGCCCAGCCATGCTTGCTTTCTTTTTCTTTTCTTTTCATCAGTTATGGGGCTTGAACTCTGGGCCAGGGCGCTGGCCCCAAGTTCTTCAGCTCAAGCCTAGCACCCTACCACTTCAGCCACAGTCTGGTTTTCTGGTGGTTTATTGGAGATAAGAGTCTCACAGACTTTCCTGCCCTAGCTGGCTTTGAACCTGATCCTCAGATCTCAGCTTGCTGAGTTGCTAGGATTACAGACATGAGTCACCGTCACCTGACTTTATTTATTTTTTAAATAAACAGCATTGTGTGATCCCTTTTACTTGAAATATCCAGAGTTGGTAAATCCATAGAAACAACAAAATGGTTTTTGAGCGATGAGGCAATGAGGAGTTAGTGGCTCGTGCTTGTAGTCCTAGCTACTCAGGAGGCTGAGATCTGAGGACCACAGTTTGAAGATAGCCTGGGCAGAAGTCTTCTAAACTTTACTTCTAATTAATCAGCAAAAAGATGGTGTCATGCTCAGGTGGTAAGTGAAGAAGCCCTCTGACCCAGTCCCAGCACACACAAAATAGCAGTTTGTTTTTTTTTTTGTTGTTGTTGGTTGTGGGGCCTGAACTCTGGGCCTGGGCGCTGTCCCTCAGCTCTTCAACTCAAGGCTAGTGCTCTACCACTTGAGCCACAGCACCATTTCCAGCTTTTTCTGCTTATGTGGTGCTGAGGAATGGAACCTAGGGCCTCATACACTCGAGACAAGCACTCTACCACTGAGCCACCTTCCCAGCCCGAGAATCACAAATTTTGAAGGTGGATTCAACTTTAGAAGTGATGTGCCTTAACCTTCTTGCTGGCATGTTGTCATTGCTTCTAGGGAAAAGAAATCTGCTGCTTTCTGAGGTGGACAGTTTTTGGGTTTTCTTCTGTTGCCAATCCTGGGCCTTGAACTCAGGGCCTGGGTGCTGTCGCTGAGCTTTTTTGCTCAAGGGTAGTGTTCTGTCACTTGAACCACAGCCCTACTTTGGCTTTTTGGTGGTAATTAGAGATGAGTCTCTGTCTTTCTGCTGGGGCTGGCTTTGAAATGTGATCCCCAGATCTCAGCCTCCTTAGTAGCAGCATTACAGATGTGAGCCACTAGCACCTGGATTAGTTGGTATTAGTTTTGCTCTTTGAAGAAAACACTTGTTCCCTAAATGTCTCTTGTTTAAACAGTACATCCCTGGTTTCCTCACCTGCACTTTAGTGACCTTGAGGACTTAATGTGGCATTTGAATAGACAACAGTGTGAATTTGACTTAGGCACTAAATTTTAGGTGACTGGATTAGAACTACCCCATGATTGATGGCTCTGGAGGACTCGGTGCTCAGCATGGAGTGCTCAGCATGGAGTGCTCAGCATGGAGTGCTCAGGGTTATAGTTTATGTCAGCCCAAGGACATAAATTAAAATCAGCAAATGGAAGGGCGCATGGTGTGATGTCTACAGAAGTTTCCCAGGCCCATCCCAGCCCCTTGCTGTGACCACACACACAGTGTTAAACCTCATTGTCGGTATGAAGGGTAAGCTGCCATTTGCAGCTGGTGCTAAGTTTCCTCAGGAGATCCAAATGGGCTTTGGTGAGGGGAGTGCTGTCTGCTGTCTCCACTGACTCTGCAGTGCTCTCCTGGGGTAACCTCCCCACATCACTAGCGCTTATGAGATGGGTGGTGACTTCTGCATATTAATTGGGGGTGGAGGTTGGATCCTGGGTTTTGCACTGAGCTATACCTCCAGCTTTAGATGTTTATCTGTGTACTTTCTCAAATCCCTGTTTAAGTAGGTTTCATTTTTTTCCCTTTAGAATCACGAATTTTCTAGTTCTTTTGGTAGTTGTATAGATATTAAGTTCCAAACTACCCTGAAGAGCTCTGTATTTCTTTGCAAACCTACCTTTATGGAGAGCTAATGCTGTCTTCCATGACTTCTTTTTTTTTTTTATTGTAAAGATACTATACAGAGGGTTACAGTTACATGAGTGAGGTAATGAGTACACTTCCTCTTGAACATTGTTAGCCC